AATCCTCGCAAATTTTCGTTCCATTCCGAGAACTTTTATTTCTGCACAAAAACAACACCATGGTAGTTCTGCTGAAAACAGCATCAGTTCGAATTAGTTTCATTCAAATGGTGCAAATTAGAGTTCAAAACAAGAGGAAAAGCGTTAGCAAAAGTAGATACGACGAAGCCGTACCAGCCATCCGCCTCCACCACCGAAGAAGACCACAAACTTCTTGCCCTTGATTGGATCGGAGGGCGGCACACCATCGGCAAGGTGGTGAAGTTACCTGGAGCACGGATGGACACAGGCAATCTGCCCTGATACCAACGTCGGGAACAGCTTCCTCAGCACACAAAGAGACCAAGAACAACTCCAATGCCCAAAGCACATGGCACGCCATGGACAAGCATCAGAATGGAGATCTCAACCGAAACACGACCAAAGAACAAGAGGACCGAGCCACCTTCAAGAACCACCCAAGCTCGCCGCACCACACACCCCATCCACCGCCCAAGATGACACCACCAAGGTGGGAAATGAGTGACGCCGTTGCACCGCGGCCGCCCAATCCCAAGGATTTGAGGTTTTCACCCGGGCCAAGTGGAAGGAAGTAGTGGGGGAGATGTACCTCAACATCGCGTCTAAGGGGGGATCCGGCCCCTGCAACACCACCGATGTCGTGGCCACCGCCACCGACCGGGTTTTCCCTGAAAAGAGTTCCCAACCCAAGTCCCACCACACCAATCTCGAAAACATCGTTTGGGTCCTAGATGCACTTTGACAAGCCTAAAGCCATTCCATTATTCTTGATAAGCGCCACAAGGAGTACTTGGCTATTAGTTTTACCTGCTTTTGTTCTTCGAGCCAATATGCTTCTGTGAAGCTATGTTCCATTCCCGTACCTTTATATATTCAGCGATCATTAGTATTGTACATATAACTATCAGGAATTAATTAGTAACACTATATAATATGTCAAGAATTAAGTGGATACCAATGTTTATACATGAAATCAATTATTTGAGTCAAAACACATCAAGTAAAAATGATTAGAGATGTATCAAGTTATACCCTCCCCGTGCATGCACGCCGACGGCAGAGATTGGAGACCCTTGAAATCCGATGGTTCAGAGAAAATAAGCAGTGCTCTAACAGTAAAAGGAGACGTGGCAGGCCGAGGTGGATGATCGACAAAGATGCGTCTCCATGCTCTGTCAAACATAGCGTCTCCATGCTATGTGGCCAATGGAGACCTTTTTATTCTTCATTTCACACGATCGATAGCGATCTGCTAAGCATCTACGTGCGTCCAGTTACTGATTCTCTGTATGAATCTGCTGCCCATTTCACGCGTCGATCCATCCTTGTCAAATGGATCGCTAGCTTATCGTTTACCTTCAATCCATGGAACATGCAAGTTGATCAGCCCTTCATGCAACTAGTCTCGAAGTATGTGCGGTGCTGGTCTTCTCATATATATTACTGGTCATGTTTATTCTAGTATATGTTTCCTTGTAGTTTTGTATAGTCGATCATGCGTCCACATGGATATATCATTCCATGTCGGCAGGGTTGCCCAGCTAGCAAGACACATTTGCACGTCGATCTCCAGCAGTTCGGCAGAGAAGGTCTAGATATCTAGTTGTACATGTGATGGACCGATGTACCAGGATATACTAATGTGGATGCATCCAAAACTTGCTCTCTCTGTCTGGTTGAATTTCCCATATATGTACAAATATTGAGTCGGTTCGACTGCTACAACAAGGGATCATTTCAAGACTTTGGCCCAAACTAGAGAGTTGACAGCTTGAGATTCAAGAAAGGGAGAGTGTATCCGATCAATATTCCAGTGACAGAACGGCCGGAGCGCAGATGACCGTACAATAACTGATATTTTTTCAGGATCAGCAGCTAGAAAATGGGCCGTTTCTCACGGATACTGATAGATTTTGTCTTGTCCGTATTTACCTTTTTTAGTTCATCAAAATGTGGTATTTTCAACATCGACAAGGAATGCATTTTTGGCCATAAGTTTTTATATTCTAGAAGTACTCCCTCCATTCCCTTATACAAGTCCACTATCAAAAATACATTTTGCATCAATACAAGGCCACCAACAGTAATCGAGGTAAAATTTAATGATGTTTCCTCATACTAGCAACTTTTTAATACTTACATGCATGTAGTCACAATGACACTCCGCCACTTCCTTCCTATTCATTCGTTGCATGCTTGTGGTGTATTAATGATCCCAGTTAACTAAAAAAAAGTTGACTTGCAAAAGAGTCATTAAATTTTATCTTGGTACCTGTAATATGAGTTTGTGGCCTTGTATAAGGGAATGGAGGGAGTACTTCTTTGAGGGAAATCTATATAGCAGTCCTTTTTGTGTCTGTACGGAGTGAGTACATAATGTGTCATAGTATGGACGTGGAGTATCTGAGCTAGAGCTCAAATGAGCTCGGATGAACAGTAAAATTAAAAGAAATTAAAAAAATCTGAATATTTTTTGTGGTACACTTTAACAAATTTTCTAAGAGCTTACAAATTTGAATTATGAGATAATATTCGTGGAAGGCATGACAAAAACTATAAACAAAATCGATGCTCCCAAAATGATATTTTCGAAAGCATTTTCGAGCACTGATTTTGTTTTTGCCACGCCTTCCACAAATGTGATCTCATGATGAAAATTTGCAAACACTCAAAATTGGTTAAAGTTTACCACAAAAACAATTCATATTTGTTTGATTTTTTTTCAATTATATTGTTCACCCGAGCTCATTTGAGCTCAAACTTGGAATGGTACTTTCGGTCAAGTATGCCCTTTTGTACCAACGATGCTATGCGGAGATGGCCAAAGTCAAGGTACTGCACTCAGTACAATTTTTGGTAATTTTCCTACAAGTGATTGTATCATCCAATAAGTACAATATGCAAATCTTTTGAAGAGAGCAAGAGAACAAGTATAATTTGCTCAAGAATTCCGGGTAGCAGTTCTACTCTTGCAAAAATAACAATTTCGCATTGATCAAATAATTAAATGAGGCCACCTATTTCTAGCACATCCTAATAGGAATAATATTTCACTGCTAGATGCCAAAGAAAATTGTCCCCCCATTTGGAATTACAAGTTGTTCTAGAAATGACCAAAGTCAATTTTCAACAACTTTGACTCACAATATGTATGGGGAAATATTAGTATTTGTTAGCTGAAAATAATATCATTATATTTGTTGTAAGAAATATAATATTGCAATCTATACAATTTGACCACAATATTTTTTATATGAACAACAACAATCGGAGTTTCATGTTGGCAAGAATACCCATTTCTAAATACATGTATTTCCAAATGACTAGATTATATGATTTAGCCAAAAGTTATCAATTTGATGCTCGCATTAAATTTTGTAGGAATTTAAATGGTAGAAACATGTCCTTGTAATTTTTAACAAGGATCATAATTTCTTCTACCAAAAGGTCTGTGTAGGATACATCACTACATTATTTCAACGAAGTGGCCATGTAGGATATTTCACTACATAATTTTATTCTTTTAAACTTTCTCCAGTAATCCTCCATCCAATGGGGGCATGAAATCTATGTTGATAAAAACATATGATGCTCAAGATAATTAAATAGTATTATCCATTTGTATAATACATACATTCGCATGTACAAATATATTTGGATCATGTGATGAGTAGCTATTCCTTATTTTAGGTATATGGTATCCCCATGAAGTTACGTGGTTCTTCCTCCCATGATTTGTCAGACAACAAGCTGTGGTTGTGACGACTTCATTGCAGTACTACATTTCCATTTAAACAAGGTATTTTGATATGATTTGTCAGACAACAAGTTGTGGTTGTGACCGACTTCTATGCAAATTATGAAGCTAAAATATGGTTCAAATCACCAAAATGATAAATTTAGGTCAAAGTGTTGCAATATCTTAAATGTCTGGTTCAAATAGAATTTACTTGCTTCAACATGGAAATATTTACAGTTCAATTCATCGACCCATCATCACATTATCCACACTATTGTTTTGTTTCGACGGGTCCATGGTTCTTTGTCCTGCTGCCTAAGCTTTGAAAATCGGCATGCCAGTCGTGTTACTAGAAGTTAGGGCAATTCCAACGCGTATCACAAAAACGCACATCACCAAATCCCCGCGGGACACGTTTGGATGTGCCTGGGGATAGCTAGGCGCAGGGGCGGCGCCATGCCCCAGGCAGCCAGGGCCTCAACCTAGGGTGTCCTAGGCTGACCCTTTGTTGTCTATTGGTACAACTATATTATTTGGCACCATGTCGCACTATAAATACGCTGTTTTTCCTTTGGTGTGGCATCAACCTGGCGCCGCTACCAGACGGGCGGCTGCCTGCCATCCAACCTCATTCACCAAATGTCCGCCCCTTGTCCAATGGAGAGAGAAGGGGGGGGGGGGAGGAGGAAACACGGATTTGTGGTGCGTTTCCGCGGCCTGTCCAGACTCCCCCAAGGCTCCCGTAGGTTTGGTGCCGATTTGAGGAAATTCGGACATCCGGACCACCTAACCTATTGTCCGTGGACAACTGGTGACCGCCGTTGGGTGACAAAACATGCCCATACTATTCGGTCCAAACATTTGCGGGCAATTCAGTATATGCAAGAAGAGAGGCCATGATTAGAAAGGAGATGCAGAGGCCAGGGTTTCAACCGCCTTTCTGAAAAAAGCAAAAAAGAAAAGTGATGTAGCCAATGCATGCGAGAAGGTCTGGTTAACACAACATGAACAAACTTTTTATTCCACGTATGTGTACAAGTATGTATATAATTTTACAAATATGGGAATCATCTAGATACCATAACGTAGGGAATACAATGATCGATGACTAGCTTATGCATAGTCAGTGCAAGAAAGAAAACGTAAGCATGTATGCATGCACGAGCCACGACTACTCATGCACATATAAGTATAACATGCATAGTTTGTGATATTTAGCTCGATCGATGTATCAATGGATTTAGCTAGGGCAGGTGAAGTCGGCGGGGCAGGTCTTGCCGCACTGGTTGAGAAGCAGCACGAGGTCGACGGGGACGTTGACCTTGATGCCCAGAACGTTGGCCTTGATGGCGGTGCAGAGGCACACGGCGGCGTCCAGGTCGGCGAGGCCCCTCAGGAGCGGGCAGCACTGCTCGCTCGCCGGCACGCCGAGGTTGAGCTCCAGCAGGTTCAGTATGTTGGCGCACGCGCTCAACTTCAACGTGTTGATCGAGCAGGTACCGCCGCCACCAGGGGTTGGTACTGGGACGGCCGGCGGGGGCACGGCGACCGGCGGGGTTGGTACTGGGAGGGCCGGCGGGGGCACGGCGATCGGCGGCGTTGGGACTGGCACGGACGGCGTGTTGCCGCACGATCCGCAACCGTGCGAGGTTCCCACGAGCACCAGGCTCAGGGCGAGGAAGAGGGTGAGCTTGGAGGGCGCCATTGCTATGAAGCTAGTAGCTAGCTAGAGTGTACTGGCTTGTGGCTGAGCGCTAGGTGGGCTTTGCTAGCTTGGGATGCTTTTCCTGGGTTGCTTGGGGTGGTATTTATAGCTAGGCCGGGGTGCAGCGCCCAAGTGCAACTGCATAGTTCATGTCATGATCGATCCAATTTGACTCTTGCCGCAATTTGCAAAAAAATATGCGCAACCACCACTACTACTACACAATTGTTGGATGGTACGTACGTGTGTACGATTACTGGAGCTTAACTCGTTTGCTAACGAACAGAAACACGAGAGCTTTTCCTAGAAAATTTGACACAAAAATATACTCTCTCCGTTCCTAAATGTAAGTCTTTGTAGAGATTCCACTATGAACCACATACAGATATATATAGATGCATTTTAAGTTTGGATTCATTTATTTTGCTCCGTACGTAGTCCACCTAATGAAATCCATACAAAGACTTATATTTAGGAACGGAGGGAGTAGTATGGACAATAATATACTCCCTTCAGGAAAACTCAAAACGGTGCCCGGGCTCATCTGCTCCCTCTCAGTAAAAAATTAAAAAAAATATACTAGAAAAATTCAAAAAAATCCAAAAATTTTGTGGTGCTAGATAATTTGACGCGTGAGGTGCGCCCCAAAATTCAACTCATTTGGACATCTGAGAAGCTCTCGGCAAAAAAGACAAATCGGGTCAAAACAGTGCGTGAACAGTATACATTTTTACAGACCCTGATTTTGTCTTTTTTGCCGAGAGCTGCTCAGATGCTCAAATGAGTTGAATTTTGGTGCGCACCTCACGCGTCAAATTATCTACCACCACAAAAAAAATTGGAATTTTTTTAATTTTTCTAGTATTTTTTTTGAATTTTTTTCTAAGCGTGGGTGCAGATGAGTCCGGGTGCAGATTAGCCGCACTCCTCCCTTCGTTCCTAAACTAAATATAAGTCTTTTTTAGAGACTTCACTATTGACTACATACGGAGTGGAATGAGTGAATCTACATCCATATATAGTTTGTAGTGCAATTTCTAAAAGAGACTTATATTTAGGAACGGAGGGAATAGAAGCAGACATAGTATGTATGACAATAGGAATATATCATGCAGCGACCTGGCCTAACCTGATCTTCAGGTCATGAGATACAAAATACTCCCTCCGTTCCATAATATAATAGTGTCAAAAACGTTTTTATATTATGAGATGGAGGGAATAGGAGATTATTACGTCGTACGATTTCATTCCATGTGGCCATGCACATGTATGCTAGACTACCAGCGCAGGTGATGTCTACTATATATACGTTTCGCGCTTTGGTTTATACTGGATTGTATGCATGCATGCATGGACGAGTACGCTACAACTTGCTCAAATTAGTCGATCCGGCCCAGTGGGCAGTGTTTCTGCTGACAAATAATCCCAATACTGACAAAAGAATTATACCATTATAGCTACCTTACAATATTCCTGTGATGGAGAGGGACCTGGCCGTGTGAACAAGGACTCGTGAAGAAATTGATAATTGTCTATTATGGACAATGTAGAATAAAATTTAAATTTCAGTCTCTTCACTATTCTTTGGATGAACAACTAATCATCATCATCCCCATCTCATTCACATAAATCATACACGCTAAATGTTGTTAACTACCATAGCCTCTATGAAACGTTTTTCTCCTCCCCCCACGAGCGACTCCCACGCGTCCTGGGTTTTCCCTGCCTTCCGCCGACGCTGCGCCGATCTACTTCATCTCATGTGGCCTTAGTTCTATTGTTTACAGGCATATTTTGGAGGTTTTGGAGGGTTGCGTCGGTCGGAGAAGCAAATGAGAGCTCGAGTGGAAATCTTCGTCAGGCCATGCTCGGCGGCCCCGTTGGTGAAGCCGACAGTGGCCGTACGTATCCAGCGCGTGAGTTTCTATGGCGGCCTGGCCGGGCCAGGCCATCGGAGTAGACGACGTCAGCGTATGGCCCTGGACGACTCTGAGTTTGCTCTCAGATCTGGACTTGGCATAAAACAACGTGGGGAATTTGTCTCAATTTTTTTAGGGAGTCTTCGTGTTTGGTTTGGGATGGCGCGGCGGTGACACTTTTCCAGTTTAGAAATATTGCCTTCCACACTCTATCCCCATTCCATTGGTGTGCTTATCACCGGCGGAGAGAGTGTGGCTTTGTGTTTCTAGTGGGTCTTACGGGATTCGGTCGGTATAAGTTTCTATGGATCTGTCTGGATTTAACCGGCTTTCAGGGTCTTCAGTGGTTCTATAGGCTCTTGGATTCTCCTCCCCTCCGCGTGCCGCTCCAACGGCCGGTGGCAGGGAGGTGAATCCCGGTGCCTCTATTCTGGTTAGTAGTTTAGGTTAGGGGTTTTAGTCCTCCGAGGGTGGCATTTGGACGGAATTGACAAAGCTTCGGTATAGGTTCCTAACGTCTCCTTGGGGTGGTGAGGTTAGGGTTTCTTGTTATACGTATGCGGCAGCGTGTTATGGTGTTAGGTACTTTGGACCGATTCAAGGGTTTAATGACGATGATTTCGGCTCCAAGGCGCTGGTCCTTAGCTTCTCCACTGTCATCGATGAGGCAAGGTCGGCTCCAGTATTGGGAACAGAGACATCGGTGCGTCGATGGCTCGTTCTGGTGGGGTATTATTAGTCGTTTGATGGTATAAGTATCTAGATGTATTTTTTATTATGTTTGGAATATTTTGTACTTCCGATGAGCTTTTATATAAGATCCGGATGATTTTTTTGCAAAAAAGTGTTTCGACGGGCCCTTTTCAGCCTTCTTTTCGTCGGGGTGACGATTTGCTTCGTTGATCGCGGTCGTCAGCCTCTGCTGGTATGCATCGATGACTTCTGGTCCGCTGCTTCCAGACGATCTTGGGTTTCAAAAAATTTACTCCGTCAAGGCGGAGGCCCAGAGGTGACATCAAGATATGCTCACGACGCGACACCAGTGGATGCAGGAGGAAGAAGAGTTCGACACCTCCAACTCTTTGAGAGTTATCTTATTTTTATGCTTGATTGTGTTAGTAATGTCCGAATGAATCTTAATATATGACATTAGGCTTTTTAATCTTGTGAACTAGCAATAGGAGACTCGGCGAACGTTTTTGACCTAGCCCACGAATGATTCCCATGGGTCTTGGGTTTCCCTGTCTCCCGCTGGCGCCGCATCAATCTCCCTAACTAGCAAACGGCGATGGTTGCCGAAGATTTAATAAGATTCTCTCTAACTAGCCCCATCCCGGCATTGCATCTCGCATTGTGAGAGGGCATGTGGAGGTGTGTCTCTAGAGGATCTCGCGGGATTCAATCGGTGCTTTTTCATCGGTGGATCTGTGTGGGTCCGCCCTCCTTCATTTGTGTTGGTGTGTATACAAATTGGATCCGTCAATCTATGCTTCTGTTCATCGGTGACGGTTTATGTTCTGTTGCGCTGGTCCTATAAGGCCTTAGCATGACAACATTTAGATTGTCTACTACAACAAGGTTTGCCCTGCTCCTGTGAGGAAGGGGCAATGACAGCGGCACACCTTTGGTTTGCTCCAGTGCTTGTAGTTGTCGCTAGAAAGTCTACAGACATGGATGTAACTTTTGTAGCTTTCGATGCTCTTTGAACTGCCATGATGTTTGATGAATAGATCACAAGTATTTCCGACAAATAAATAAATAATCATACATGCTAAGAATTCAGTTTCGTTCTAATAAAAGTGTGCACTTTCAATACTGAAACTTTATGCTAGACATTGTGCAATTTTAGGTAATTGGAATATAAAAAGGTGTTGGTAACTAAGATCTAGTGCAAGTGAAAAATATATCCACTTTATGTACATATCACTATATTAGTTTGCAAGCTAACAAATTAATTTAAATGAAAATATAGATGTCCCCATATTAATCTGCAGCTATCTTTCTCCATGGCTTGGTTTCACATGCATTACATGCAAAATATTCATACAAATATTATTTTATAGCTAACTAGATTATAATGGGGGACAATATCCTGTGCTCGTGTGTAAAAAATTAATTTCAAAAATTTCAGAAAATTCTGATTTTTTTTACCAATGATCACAGAACATGTGTCCATTGAAAGATCGTGGATGTCGCCTAGAGGGGGGAGGGGGTGAATAGGCGCTTTAAAATAATTACGGTTTAGGCTTGAACAAATGCGGAATAAACCTAGCGGTTAATTTGTCAAGCACAAAACTTAAAACAACTAGGCTCACCTATGTGCACCAACGACTTATGCTAAGCAAGATAAGTAACTATGTGATAGCAAGATATATGACAAAGAACAATATGAATATCACAAAGTAAAGTGCATAAGTAAAGGGCTCGGGTAAGAGATAACCGAGGCATGCGGAGACGACGATGTATCCCGAAGTTCACACCCTTGCGGATGCTAATCTCCGTTTGGAGCGGTGTGGAGGCACAATGCTCCCCAAGAAGCCACTAGGGCCACCGTAATCTCCTCACGCCCTCGCACAATGCAAGATGTCGTGATTCCACTAAGGGACCCTTGAGGGCGGTTACCGAACCCGTACAAATGGCGACCCTTGGGGGCGGTCACCGAACCCGTACACTTTGGCAACCCTTGGGGGCGGTCACCGGTACCCGTCAAATTGCTCGGGGCGATCTCCACAACCTAATTGAAGACCCCGACGCTTGCCCGGAGCTTTACACCACAATGATTGAGCTCCAAGCACCACCAGCCGTCTAGGGTGCCAAAGCACCCAAGAGGAACAAGCTCAAGGGAACCAAGCACCCAAGAGTAATAAGCTTCTCAACTTGAAACTTCCACGTATCACCGTGGAGAACTCAAACCGATGCACCAAATGCAATGGCAAGGGCACACGGAGTGCCCAAGTCCTTCTCTCCCAAATCCCACTGAAGCAACTAATGCTAGGGAGGAAAATGAGAGGAAGAACAAGAAGGAAAACACCAAGAACTCCAAGATCTAGATCCACGGGGTTCCCCTCACATAGAAGAGAA